GTTGTTTCACACTTTGTTGTTAAGTATATAATTCTACATGTGTTAATTCATTGTTTTGATGCCTTCAGTATGAATGTACAATTTTCACAGCAATGAAAATAAAGAAAACTCTGAATGAGAAGGTGTGTCCAAACTTTTGGTCTGTATTGAATGTACAGGAACCATGTGTAGATCTACTGTACATGTTTGTGCTTAACACAAAGGCAAGGGGGAAAACACTTACCTGYRCATATGTTTTAAACTCAATTTTTAACTTTTTATCGAAACAGAGGCTGCACAAGCAGTAGATWTGCACATGGACCTGCGCCTTCCTGTCTGTTGACCAATAGGAGAGAAGCTGACACAAGAAGCTCCGCCCACCTTGTTTACATAATGAGGCATAAATGCATAATGCAGGAGACCTAGAAATATAAAAACAACACATGGGAATAAAGACTTGAGAGAACAATTATTTAAAAATATATATAAACATCATTTAAGAGAAACAAATGCATCTACAAGTGAAAGGATAAACAATTTTTTTGAAATAGTAAAATTTTAATTATGTGCTAAAATATAGAATTTGTTGGAACCAAGCTGGAAAAATAACTGTGAAGGTCAGTTAAATTATAAAACATGAGGTAACRTTCTCCTTTTTTCATTTAATTGGTGTGTCGATGACAAAGACAAAATGTATTTATTAAGTGGTCTGTTAAAAGTGATAAATGAGAAGATGGACCACAGTAATCAGACACAAATAGTGTGTCCACAAAACTTTGCGGTCTACACAAAAAGTTCTTAAAAATACAAATGTGCTTTTCCGGTTTAAAGATTAAACAAATTTGATGAATTCTAATCCTGAGGAGGTGATGCAAAATGTTCATTTACTTTTTTGCTGTTATAGCATGACAGATTAGTAAACATCCTAATTAGATTTTGAATTGCACCAGTATTTCTTTCACTCTTGTGATGATGAAGAGAAACTTGCCTGTGCCTTTGTCTCCTCCAAGGCTTTACTGTGCTTTTTGTTTGTTTGAATCATAAAAACACAAATTTACCTCCATATAATGGGATTTCTGGTAAAAAAAAAAAAATCTTCAGAAACTTTAATTTATTCAAAACAGTGCAGTCAGTATTTCATTAAGAGCTGGTAAATTAGAATATATTACACCCTTTCTCCAAAACCTTCACATTACCTTCAGAGTTCATTACAAGATTTCTCTCATTAAACTCACTTTTCTGCCCTCATCTTGTTCTCTCTGATCACAGAACATAAATTTTCTCCATCTCCCTCAAACTAAGCTAAGGACCATGAAATATTGGTTTATTTAGAACCATTTGGACTTAGTTGTGCTGACCATCTCGAATGTTCAAATCATGATTGTGCCCCCCTAAAAAACACCTTGGCCACCCCTTACAAAACATCTGGATTTGCCACTGCAACTCTTGATGCTCACTGGAATGTTGATGTGCGCTCCCACTGTGAGACGTTTACTTTCCATGTTAAAGTTGGAAGTTTAGTCCAGGTTATTGACTATCCGTACCAATGTGTGGACTTTTCTCTTTCACTCAAACATTGTTTGATTGGTTCTGCCAGGTTAAAGCTGRAGGATGGAGAGCACAGAACAAAATAGTTGGAATAGCCTTTAGTGATCTGCCTGAAGCTGGAATCTGACGAGCACAGTTTCTGTCCTCCCAGGTGTGTGAGTGCCCGGATGAGATTTGGCGCGCCAAACCCAAACTTTACGCACAGTGCGCGCGCACATGCACTCTATCGTGCGCGCGCACATACACCGGCTCTGAAGCAGCTGCAGGTGTTTGAGACAATGACGGATTAAGGTGTTCTCAGGTGCCATGTTCTAATTCACACGGTTTTGGACCTCAGAATCCGGTCCTGGCAGGGCACCGATCCGGGTTCGATTCTCGTTTCCGCATTCCCGCAGCCGCCGCGCGCACTGCAGGTGCGGGACMAAGATCCATGATCACAACAGAAAAACCGGTCCGTCCGGCTCAACTACCCGGACCGGTCCCCGGCACCGGCAGGAGGACAAACCGAAGCAGCGACAGGCTGATGGGGACTTAGGACTGAGTCGGGTTCGGTTCGGTGTTGGATGTCCCTTCACGTCCCGGGATGGAGAACTGCTGTCGGTCCTGTTGTCCCTGTTTGAAACGCCTCTGGAACTGGATCTGGCCCGACGTTCGCTACCCGAGCGTCCCGAACAACAACCACCTGGTCATCGCCAACCCGGCCCATGCGTCCGAGATCCGAACCGTGTCGGGCGACATACGCGTGCCGTCGCCCCAGAAGCGTCCGGTCCAGCTGTATGCGGCGCTTTTTGACTTCGAGGCCCGGAGTGACGAGGAGCTGTCGGTGCGGGAGGGGGACAAGCTGTCCGTGATCGAGAAGAGGGGGGAGTACGTGCTGGCCACCAAGCTCACTGGGTCCCGACAGTCCGGACTCATCCCGGCCAACTACGTGGCTCTGCTGCAGGACGAGTTCGCCAAACACAAGTGAGTCTTTCGAACCGGACCGGACCGGACGTTCTGATAGTTTAGTGACAGTCGGAATATTCTGTTACGTCACCTGGAGGTGCGCTGTAAGGTTGTGTGTTTCCAGGGCCGGCCCCAGGGTGGATCTGGATGAGGTCCTCAGCAGACTTTTCCTTGGGGGCCCAGTTCCAGTTCTCACCACCACGAGATTTAAGACTTTTATTAATTTATAAAATATTAGGGGTGTAAGAAAATATCGATACACTGAAATATCGCG